ATATATATATAAGATGTTGGGGGTGGGGGGCCAGGGGCAGTTATGTGTTGATTAAAAGCTATTTCAAGATTAATAATTTTGAGAAAAAAAAACATTTTGCAATGTACGAAGTCTGTATGCATACTTAAATTACACATAAATTTAGATAATTTTCAGCTTTAGGCCCATAGAGACATGCAAAACTTTAGAGGTGTGTGTTTAATAAATAAATAAATAAATAAATAAATAAATAAATAAAATAACACCAGTTTGTGATATTTATAAGTAGTGTGGGCAGAATTTATGAACTTCAATTGTGAATCTGTGGGATAAATGTGTGAACATATGCTCACAGTTTACAAAATTAAAGCTACAGATTAAACACAGACTTCAAAAACAAGCTGAAAATAAATAGCAGACTCTGAGGAAGGATTTCCATGTGCTCCGTATTTTCACTGCGGCCCCCGCTAAAGGTGGGCTCCATACGGAGAATGCATTCAGTCAAAGAGTAGATAGCACCGAGGCCCACAGAGATGTTCAGTTAACACTACAGGTGCATTTCTCTGCTTCTCGGATACAAGTCAGCTGTTAAATTACTTCTGCAGCCAGCAGGCCCTTGCCTTGCCCTCTGTTTTGGCTTTTTTATAGCTCTCTCATGAAGCTGAGGTTGATTTTAGCTCAGTATTGTTAGTCACTTTCCATCTTGCTCTCTCTTGTGGGAATGCCACTCTTTGCATGTCCACATCTCTTTTACTGCATGTTAAACATTTTCCATATCTTTCTTTTTTTTGTGAAAACCCCCAGAAACATGCATGTTTAAGCTGCTTTTGGGCCAAAAAAAAAATCTAACTCTTGAAATGTGATTACTGAATGAACATATTTGATTAAGTTTTGGAATCACACCAATAAACTAAACCTTAACTCAGGTAATTTTACAGATTTTGAAATAAAGTTTGCTGTAGTTGCAGCTGAGTCTCTTTCTCCATACATGCTGCTAGCACTAAAACATCACAAGAGATCTCGCAATATTGCACAAATCTTTATTTATAAGATTTGACCAAAGTGGCTACAACTCATTTCTCATCACATCATGATTTTAGTTTAAAATTATCTCATGAAAGGCAGTGGGCAATACGCATTCCTTCAAGAATTCTAGTTCTTTAAATAAAAATGGGTTTTTCCCTGGGTTTCTCCTCATGTATCGTGTCCCTTGTTAAATTAATCATTTTGTAAGGAAGAGATACACTCAACTATCCTCAGAGACTCAAGTCTGCAACTTTATATTGATGGTACATTTTTGTCTTTGAAGTAATAAATGTTAAGCAGTTACATATGTTATTTATAGTCATGGAGATATTACGCACATTAAGTCCCTACCAATAAATCATGTAGGAATGTACACTATATTCAGACATCCAATCAAGTTTAATAGCAGTGCTTCATAAGTGCAATGAGGTGAAGCCCACTCTCAAGCACTTTTATTGCTCATGAAGTTAGGTGACATGTACCGTGCTATATGAATCTTTACTTTTCCTTCTGACTGTACACATGATAAGTTTTTTTTTTTTTTTTTTTTGGTCAGGGCTAGAATAACATAGTGATTCAAAAAAGTAATAAAAAGTCATGAAGTTGGTGCAGTTGAGCTGAGGTAGCAACATTTTTCTGCTCCGGTTGCTGAGCTTTGATTACTGCAGCCTGTGGTACAATACTGGATAATTAAACACATACACACACATTCACACACACGCAGGCACAAACTCCCATTGAAATGGCAACTGGGTCAGACATTGCCCTACATTGTTTTACAGACGCAGGAAGAGCAAATGAGTGCGAAAAACAGATCGAGAGGCAGAGACGTAACGCGAGACGGAGAGAGGCAGATGTTGCGCTACACTCACTGTGGAACTTGAGGGAATAATGAGACGGCCTGTAGCGTGTGTCTCAGTGGGTGGCTGTGTTAAACTACACTCTAATTACACATCATTACAGAGGCGAAGACAGAGGCCGTCCAGTTCGGACAGCAAAAAATGGACTGAAGCATGAAAACACCAGCTGTAACACACCAAAACATCATGAGGCAACCTGCTCACACTCTGTGCTCTGTACACTAACACCCAGAAGGCAAATACAGATTTCAGATACTAAAACATCCCATAAAATTGTATTTTTAGAAATGTTTTCTTTTTTTAGGCTGACCACCTTTTTACCCTGAAGCTCTGTGCCCTAATGATTAACAGCATAGGGTGTTCTATGTTTGATGTAAATACTTTATCTTATCATCAGCAAGAAGTTACGATT